CTACGCGCATCGCTGCTCCACCCGTGACTTCTCTTTCCGCAGGTGGAATCGCAGCTCTTCAGTGCAGGCCGCTTGTCTGTGTGCGACGGGAGTCCTGCAGCGTGCCACGGAACGCCGCCGGCTGGGCCTCCTCATTGCCGCGCTGCAATCTGCCGGCAGCCACCAGCACCACCGGCTGTGGCTCCAGGGAGCGCATTCCCCTTCGGCAGAAGCGGGTGGAGAGCAAGGTGAGGAACCAGCCGGCCGCACCTCGCGATCTGTGAGCCAGGCAGGAGCGCAGCTGGCTGCAGACCGGGGATCCACGGACTCATCATCCTGATGGAGATTACCTTTTTATGTCGTTAAAAACTGCACGTGGCTCAGCTATCAAGTGCTAGAAGGAAGAATCAAGTCAGCGCAGAGCCGGTGCAATGTCCCAGCTGCACTCCGGCAGCACAGAAACGCACGCTGGGATGGGAGTGGAGAGAGCACCCGTCCCCACTGAGAAAGGCCACTGAAAGCTGAGTCCTTGTCGAAGGGAATCATATCAAGCATCACAGACTTGACACTAGCAGCTTGAACTTCTCACTGGTCCCCACACAGCCCTCTCCAACTCACCGAGATGTGGGAACTCATACTGAGAAGTCGGTTTGTGTGCACCCTGACTAGGACAATTTGTTCTATTGATTAGCAAATAATCTTCTTTGAAAATAACTTTTTCTTGTTATTTCCCTGACTCCTGAGACTTATCTGTGCTTTCAATATCACTGACAAATTCCACAAACGAATGAATTTTTGGTGTGCTGGATATCTTTACTGCTAGCTGCAGACACTGCAATTGGACAGAAGATTTGGAGATGCAGTCTGTTCAACCAAACTCAAACTGGCAGGGGTTTCATTCTCCCAATCACCTATTTAGAGAAGAGAAACTACTTATGAACCCCTCCACACCTCTTTCAGTGATGCTAAGGAATAGTGCCCCTTGTTATGCCTTCAGCTGGCCCAGGAAACATGGATTTCTGGTGGAATTACACAAGTCAGCTGGAGGAGGTACATGTGCTGTCCTGCACCTTCAAATCAAAAACTCCTGCGTGTAAAAATTGCCTAGAGACAGCTCTAATTTGTTCTAAACTATCACTCCCTCTATCAGCAAGCAGGGAATTGTTATCTATTTATTTCTTACAATGTCACCGAATCAGTGGCCACCTGCAAGGTGTCCATGATGATAAACGCTTGCTTTGTATACGGAGCTATTTCTGACAATGCTTGATAGTGCACATCTATCAAATTGCCTGGAAGAGCCACCTATTAGGATCATTATCTGACACAGTCCCTTTGTGGGAGTTCAATGTCAGCACATCCTGGGGAAGGCAACTCACTGGGTACCTATCCTGCTCATTATTTCTCTAGATTAATAGTTTCACACTTCCATTATGAATTTGGGCTGAACTTTGGAGTTCTCGCACCCAGGACAAAGCTGCAGCACAAGCACAGCGGCTCCCGAGCACCCTCCCAGCCCTCAGCACCCTGCTGCACCCGCGCGCTGCGAGCAGGAGCCCCTGTCCCGAGGGTCGGCAGGCTGAGCTCTGTGCCAGCCAGCCAGCGGAAGGCAGGAAGGCTTTTTGCCCCTGCAAGACTAGAGTTCTCCAGCACTATAAAAGCCCTGGTGAAACACAGACATGCCCTGCTACTTGCTTGCTCCCTGCTGGGCTGTGCTGCTGAACATACCACCAGCTCTCCTTCTGCAGCTTAACAGAAACTTGTTTTGAGAGCGCTCTGGTCCAGGTCAGGAGTTTTGATCTTAAAAAGTCAGTGCTCAGCAATCTTTTAGCAAATCATGGTCATTACTCCTCAAACCATCCTTCCCACAAGAAAGCCACAGCTTTCAGCCCTGGGCTGTACTCATCATGACTGAACTTACAACCAGCAAAACCACTTTTTCTCATGGAACCAGCCACAAAACATGGGCGACCTTAATTCCTTCTGCAGAGCCTCACTTATTAATGCAGAACACAGGCTCCTGGAGGTCACGTAGTTCAGTTCTTGAGAAGAGAAGATGCAAAAGCGGTATTCCAAGAAGACACCCCACTGTCTGCTAGCCTTTCCCCTCCAGGCTGGCTCTGTTCAGAGGACAGTCCCTGCAGCCATGCCCACAGCGGCTCAGACCTAGCAGCAGCTCAGATGACACAAGCTGACACTGGTCTCTCTGTAGGCTGAACTGCTCCGGCCCATGATGGATGCAGCCTCTCCCAGCCTGACAGAACGGTTATTTCCCCGCGTTGCTTTTTATTTCCCATCACTCTGTTTAAAGGGCAGTTCAGACTACAGCCAGGCTAGCATAATAACAATACACAAACAAAACCTCCCCCAAATCCACAACAACGTCAGCCAGCTTCCCTGTTGCCCCTGTAATCCTTGTACTGAAGAGGGAGGTTCTGGCTTTGTTAAACAAAATGCAACTGCCATGTAGTGTGCAAAAGGGCCAGAAGTGATGCCGATAATTTACACGAGCAACAAAACTGCAGAAGGACCTACTGCTTACCCATGGTGCAGGCAGCATGCAAAATGGATTTAGGTGATTAATCCGTTTAGCTATTAGCTGCCAGATAGCTTTAATTCATGTCAGACACAATTAGCTCACTCTGACAACTGGAAAAGGAAGCTTGAATACCAACTGCATTGTTGGTTGAAGCGCGGCGCTCCCAGCGCAGAGCAACAGCGTCAGCTCTGCAAAGAGGAGCCTGGAGCTGTACTCCCCCCACCCTCTACAGACCCAGCTCAGCACACAGCCACCCCAAACGGGTACACGCTGAAATGCGGTCGTAACGCCGCCGAGCTCTACAGAGCCTGCTTCTTCCAGTCTCCCAGGTGCTAAACGCTATTTCGCAAGCAATTTTCTGCCGCTGGCATAAAAAAATGTGTTAATCCCAATAACAGCACAAATACGGCCTTTTATCCTCTGGAAGAATCAGGAATATGTAGCACACAGACCAGGAGTCAGAAACAAAGGTGTGCCTCTGCTGCTGCAGAGTGGCTGGGGGGGGGGGGGGCGGCACAAGGCTTCCCCGCCTGCGCTGGGAAGTCTGGGGAAGCAGCCCAGTCACATCTGCACCTCTTCGCCATTCCAGACTCATTACTCTAGAGGAATAGTACTACTGTCTAGTACTCGCAAAAACATTAATTCCTGGACTTACTAAGAAACAAAACCATACCTCAGCATTAAACCGGAGACCGAAATGGCCGACAGTGTAACAAGCACGTCAACGCAGGGCCTTAAAGACCGTAACTACAGCTTTCAAACGCAGACCGTGCTAACAGAAGAATTCTCTGGGCTAGCTAGGCATTCTAGTAATTTTCTCTTCCTGTTAAAGACATGTATAAAGCAGAATCTAGACTTACACATCTGTATCCAAGTAAGTGTGTTACAGTTTTATTTACAGCTTAATGAACTGGCTTTTTTAAATTAGTATGTTACCAGAATTCAACAACGAATTGTTGCAAGGCAAGTGTACTTGTAGCTTAGTAGTTTACAATATTGCCACCTGCAGTTGGGACTCAGAAGCTTCCAAAGCCTCCTGTGATTTCCAAACACATGGTATAGACTTGAGGTTTGATTTACAGTAACAGGCTTGCTTTTCAAAGGAAACTCATGTATGAATGTTGTTCTACAAACCTTCTCCCACATCACATGCTGCATCAAATATTAACACCAAAGCGTAAGTTACGTCCACCAGCAGCTTTTCCCAGCCTTCCTTACTAATCGTGCTGTAGGCTTGGCTTTTGCCAAAAGCAGAACTTTACCAAACCTAGAAAAATTCCCAAAGTCTCAACATCCTTGTTTACAGCCCCTTCAAAGAGGCTTTACATCAAGGACAAAAAGGTATCTTTGGAAAGGACAGTGCACTAGCTAACAAAGAAACAGGCTTATTTTTAGAAAAAATCTTAGAGAAAGTTAGAGAAGCAAAGTTCCTTACTCCGAATGTCCTCTTAACATGCCACTTAAAATGTTCTCATGTTAGTTTTTCTGCTGAAACAGAGGAATGATTATCAGGTTGTCTCCTGCAGATGCCACTTTACCTATTTGACTTTGTACGATCCACATAGAATAATATTTCAGGAATCAAAGCTAACCACACTTCAAAGTTCTGTTCAAACAGCATTTATTGGATACGACTCTTTGTCAAAGACATGCGCTGAATCAACTCAATTTAGATGAGAAGAAAGGGCAAAACAATGTTTTGACTAGTCCAAGCTTTCTTCTCCCCGTCTATACTCAGTTCCAGGAGTACTGCTTCTCTTACAGATTTTGAAAGGGGTGTAGGAAAAGCAAAGTTCTCTCACATTAGAGATACTCCAGCAGCTCTAAGGCTACTCTCAGTAACCTAGTCAGGCAGAGGCCTAGCTGATTGCTTAAGTACCTGTGATCTCCTGTTTCTTAAAAAACAATAAAATGCATAAGTTCACTACAAAAATAAAGCCAGTTACAAATACAACGTCTGCTATAAGAACGAAAGGATTGCTATTCATGGCAGCATCGCAAACTACAAGAAGCTTTACATTTAGTCCCAGGCACCAGTAACTTGCCTTCAGGTATTTCAGGTGCTATTCCGAGATAGTCATTACATTTTAAGCAGATCTGCAGAGAAAAGACATGCCTGGAAGGAAATGCAACAAATCTGATCTGTTGCTTTCTTTACCCAGACAGATAAGAACTCCAGTCACTTGTGTCCACTGCTTATGTCTTCTGCAAGACACCAGAATAGCTTTTCTATCCAGCTTGCTGGTCTGCAAGCCCAAGATAACCGTATCTTGGTCTCAACCCTAAAGGAAATAATTTTTTTTTTCTGAATAAAAAAGCGCAATCTATTCTAATTCCACTACACATTATAGGTGGAAAAAATAGTTCTTAACTTCCATTCTGTAAATTAATGGAAGGAAGATACAAATTAGGATAAGAACTAAAAGTAGTGGTTCTAAATGTAATGTAGTATTTACAGAGGGATGTCAACAGTCACTGAGTTTCATCTATAGGTTTTTGCACCGCTGCAAGCTTGTGCGAGACGAACCTGGAAAGAAAGGGAAATTAATCAGTACTCAGACACTTGCATCCCAAGGCCAGTTACAACTTCTGCCTGAAGTAGAAGGCACTTCCAGTTTCGACGCAGTTTTTGAAAACATTGACAATGGTTCTTTTTCAAGAAGCGCATGGTTTATCCACAGTTTGTATTAAGCTAGATGTGATGTAAAGCTAATCCCTCTCCTTCCCTTCTCAGTTCATGCTGCTTTTTGGCCACTGACACAAGCCAAAACACAAGACAAGGGGAAAAAAAATAAGGAGTTTCTATTACAGCTCAACAGTCCCCTGATTACCGACAGAGCGACAACACTGCCTTACAACTTCAGGTCACAACTCACAAAAATACACAGACTTACTGATAGCTTCTTCATAATTCCTTGGGCCTCCGGATGCAGGTGAAGAAGATTCTTCTTGGTCAAATCACTTGCTGTTAAACGAATGCTCTGTGAAAAAAACCCCAAGTCTTAGGTTTTCCGTTTGGTCAGCTGTAGTAGCCAAAAGGAGCAAAAAAATTCAATTAAAAATAAAAGCAAATAAAATCTAAGCATACTAGGAGACCACGTACAGGCAGAGAACTACATTCAGCTTGATGAGAAGCTCATCTCATACCTTCCTTGAAGTGCATTAACACGTTACTGCCAGCACAAGCTACTTTAAGTGTTACTTAAACGCACAGCAAAACATCATTCTACGCTCTGTTTTGACCAACTCGAACAGCGCACACATCTGATTAAAAAGAACTTTAAAAGGTTTTTAATCTAGATCAATCCCCCAATAAACTGCAGTGGCACAACTAAAGAGACAAGAGTGGATGAACTGACACCGGTCAGGCCCCCAAGAAGTTACAGGCTACCCCTCCAGCACAGGTTTTACAGATCAAAGTTCCTGATTTACCTCCCCTCCTCCCACAGGGACTGTAATGAAGATATCGTTGCTGTCAGCAAGGGGGCTGCCGTTGGCAGAGATGGTGTAAACACGTTCATTTATTGCAGGTGTGCGCAAACCTGGTGTCTTGAAAACTCTGAAACAAAAAGTTATAGGCAAGTAATTTCACTGCAATCACTCCAAGGACTTTGACTAAAAGTCTTTTATTTCAGGTTCAAAGAGCCGCTAAGGATTACGTTGCAAACAGATGACCTACGTGAAGCAAATGTCAAGGCATTCCCCTACAGAAGAGATCAACAGAGAAATGTAACAGAATACAAACCTGGAATCAAATTTGTGTGTGATCACGGAGGTACCTCCCTGAGCAGACATATCAACAATTCTACCAGTAGCTGGAGTGATAAAGTTGTTTTTGCTTGATCTGTTAAAGGGAAATAAACAAACCTCCTTTCATAAGAATACTCTTAATAAAAGGTACAAGCACTATCTTACCAGAGACTTGAATGAGGTTATCGCCACAGAAAACCAGAGGTTGTTACTAATCAAAGGTGAACCCCAAAGCTAGGGATAGCTGGGCATCACAGGAGAGGGAGTCGCCCATCTTTTACCGCCCTCAGGTCACTGATTTTTTTCCTATAGCATGGCACAACACCACCAACCAGCCTACCAAACCATACTCCATTCCATTTAAGTTATATGAGCCCCATATGCTGCTTCTCCATTTCTGAAATCCAGTGAAAAAGATATCCCCTATTACCTTTTACTCAGGCGCTTCACTCTCGCTGAAGGAGCTCTTCTGGTCCTGGACACTGGCACTTTTTTAGTGGATGTCTTCACCTGAAACACACATTATTCACCCAGTCAGTTACTTCACTATAACGTGACAGCTACACCCACAACGCACAAACGCTTCCACACGAAGGGCTGGGCTCAGTAGGCTCCTTATCATGGCAGGAGAGTATGACGTTTGTTTCTGGACAAGCTTCTGTGACCCTCCCCAACCACCAGAATTTTCAAGGAAGCGATAGCTGTTTTGAAGTCCCCCTCAAAGTGCCCCGGACAGCTACATTATCATAAGCGTCATCTCGGTAAGTAATTTATATCTCGGGAATGAAGTCATCACAAAGAACAGCTCTTTACCTTTCCAGTTCTTGGATTCACGTTTTCAGCCTCTGGCTCTGGAAGACATTGGCTATCATGTTTTGCTTTCTTTGCTAGAGGAAGAAAAGGGGGCTCTGCTTCTTCTTCAATAGCCTCAATATCCTGTTTAGATTTCTCCACTAGAAAGATAAAGTGTTATCCAAGTTGAAAATTAATAATAACTTCAGATTACTAGTTAGCAGCGGGAGTAAACAATAAATAACCACAAGCAATTTCGGCAATTTGCTTCTGAAATCCAAATTCCGATGCAATCCAAATGGTTGACAGAGTACTCTTTTGAGTTATTTTGAATGTTTTAATAAAATTAAGTAGAGCTACTGCAGATAGTAGGGGAAAAAAAAGTATGATTATTTTCCTGTTTTTAAGTATATTGAAGGACGTAAGTAAGGACTGAATTATTATTCACAGTATATAAACCATGACATGCTTTCATCTCACCGAACTCGTCACAATGCTTAAAAAAACTGACCTTTCTTGGTGCTTTTTAAGGGAGTCTGATTAACTTCTGCTGTTAACTTGTTTATTTCTGTTATTTCCAAGTCTGCCTAAAATTAAAGACATCCACAACACCATTATGATTATTGGTAGCACGTAAGCCCAAGTTGTAGAGCAAATGCCTAATCATTTCACAGTGAGAATACCTCCTCCGCGCTTTCTGTTGTGCTCAGACTGGGACTTTTCACGTTATTCTGGGGGTGACAGCACCACATGAGGTCTGCCTGCCATTCAGGGCTAACAGGCCATTTTGGCATCCGCAAGTGTGTTCCACCCGCGCCCTGCTGCTCGACCAGGTTAGCAATGCTTTACTGAAAAGCACATGTGCTCTCAGGGGTCTGGGAGTAAAACCAAGCAGGTAAGGAAAGACTGACAGGGAGCAGCGCCAGCACCAAACCCTGTGCTGGGTACAGCTGGCACCTCTTACTGCTGAGTCTTCCAGCAGCATCTGTGGAATGTAACCTCTGCTCTTGCAGCGCTCCTGCGGACACAGCAACCCTTCACTTCCTGCAGAACTACACGATGCCGCCAGAAAAACGTGCCACTTCTGCTAGATACCTACCGTTGCTGCCTCTTCCAGCATCTTTTCGCTTCCTCCTTTAGCTAAAAAGAAAATATTTTTTAGAAAA